GATTCAAAAATAAGTCACCGGATCTGGTTTCACTACATGGTTCCTGCTGGAAATTCCCACGGAACGAACTTTTCGCTCGACAGTTCGGCGAGGAGTGAATAAGTGATGAGTGCGTCCTTACCATTCAGAAAATGAACTTCGAATTCCGAATTGTTAATTCATTATCCTTCATTCCGCCTTCTATGTATCCAATTAATTAATTAGGTTCTAATAATATAACAAATATCAAGACAGTCTCTCGCTGAGCCACGAAGCCTTTCGAGAACTGCAACTTGACGATTTACCCAAGAGCGACGGCCGCGGATGCACGGAATGCGTCGGAGTCGACCCTGGAAGAAGCAGAGCCGGCCAGAGAAACGACCAACTCTCGTATTTCGACCTGGAGGATTCCTTGCTCCTTCCGAAGACGGGATTCTCCTAATAAGGTTCCCCTTTCTTCTCCATTTTCGTTTGCATGGAATGCCTGCATTCGCCGGTCCAGTTCTTCCTGCAGGAGTCGGCAGAAGTCGACCGACCGACCGATCGATCGAAAGACTCTTGAAAACGTAACTTTTGCGTGACTCGACGTCAGACGTTACTCCGACGTTACTCCCGCATTTAAACGGCATTTGTAAGGTTTCCAGGGGCGCGTAACCTTTGCGGTGATTTGAACCTCTCCATATAAAAGTTAAAAGGAAGTTACCGAGATGTCGTAACTTTCGATTCCTAAACTTTTAAAAGTGGAAATTTTACGTGACATTTATTTGGAAGTGACTCCTGAATGCAAATGACGTTTAAGTTATTAGGGCTCATAGTTATCTGGGTTCATAGTTATCAGGATTCATTACCTTTATTGTCTTCTGGACGTATGTAAAAGTTGCTAGGAAGTGCTAGAGCGTTGTAACGTTAATGGAATTGAGGACCTCCATAGTAACGGTTATGCTAACGTGAAGCGTTACTGTCACGGAGGGGTTCGCACAACTGGGGCCAGATATCGCCAAAGTAGCCGCCGTTGAGAGTCGAAATCTGATAGAGCTGGAATCGGTCTCGATTCGTTTCCGCCGGATGACCGGTCTTTCCGCACGGGCAGCGCAAGGGAAGACGTTTCAGTTCTGGGGCCGACTGGTCTGAAGTGGTGAACGGGGTCTGCGGAGTCGCCGTGGAACTCGGGCGGGTTGCGAGGAGGAAGGCTTCTGCATCTGTGGTTTTTAAATCGCTCAAAGAGAGAGTGCATCGATTTAAAGGGTAGACAATTGTGTGGTTTTCTAACCTTTAGTAGCGGCCACTCAAAAGTTACACGTTCCCATCATGGAGGAGGGTCAACAGGCGACAGATGTTGACATTTCATCGAAATTTCAAAGTAGCATGCTGGGAAATAAAACTTGGAGGGTTCCACTATAACTCCTCGTATTCCTGCTACGAATTACATTTGAAATATATTTTAAGAAATTGAGTGACTCTTTTTATTTGGGACTCGATTAGGACCAATTTGAGTCGTGGCAAATGCACACCCCCTCCACCAGATGTCTCCACTCGCCTCGCCTTCCGATTGGGCTGTCGGACGGCAGTTCGGTCGCAGTCTCGGTTCGGACTCCGTGCCGAGCGGATCTCCTCCGTCGCGGTCCTCGTCGGATGTTCTTCGACTCGGGTTTTCTGATGTGCATTTCCGGTTTTCTTCGTTTCTTAACCTCTCTTCGCTCGGATCGATGTCAGGGATTCGAAAAATGAATGATCGGCCTTTCTTTGGACTGAAGGGAATGAAGAATGAGATATAATGATGAAGTATCCGCCCGGCCAATAAATTTATTTGGGTTATGGTCAAAGCTGCGGAAATCGGAACATCGACGGCTTAGCCAAATCATGCTTGCGCCGTAGTTGCCATTGATGCCGTAGTTGCCACATTGTACACCTGACCGAACGCGAAAGTCCCGAAGTCGAGTCGTCGAGGGGCTGGAAGCAAGCCATTTGGCCGTAGCTGTGAAGCTGCTCAAAACCGGCGCGAGATGGCGCCTGAATCGTCGCTTGCGGCGAATCGCTCCCTGATGCAATTGAAAGGAGTTTCTTGCGCCTTTTTTAAGTTCGCGATCGTTTCCGACGTGAATCCAGGGGGAAGGCACCGAAAAACGTCGCCATACTTGTCGGATCCGACCGATCGAGCGAAGACACCCTCGGATCCGGGTAACCTTCCGGCGTCGCCACTTTACGATCGTCGCCTCATTCAAGCGATTGATAACCTCTCGGTATTCATAATTCTTTGAAGAAAACCACGCTTCGCCAACGGGCCATCGAGAAAAGTATGCGCGTGTATCTCGTCCACATTGAGACTTCGAGCAAGTAAGGAATATTTTTTTTTTTTGCTTTAAGGCAGTTAATAGTTGGCTTATTCTGGGGACACGTGCAGTTTTCACAGTGAGCTACCGATGATGGACAAACAGGACCTGCTCAACTATATGCCATCTATCCCCCAACCATCACCCAATGATGGCTCTTTGAATATTTTTTGACTGTCCCATTTTTCCCTTCTCAGAAAGAACTTTTTGTGCAAGAGTTATTTTTCTCTTCAATCAACATTTGTTCATAAATGTGCGAAACGGGGATTTTCTGAGGCGCGAATCACTCTGTCGAAATAACCATTGCTTCCTCTCTGTTTTTTTTTTATCTAAAAAAAATGTTTTGCTCTCAAACTAAACGTGAATACTTTAAAAGTACTTCCCATGTGCAAATAAATATACCTAATCAGTGAAATAATTCATAAGAGTTCTCAGAAGTATATTTTGGGGGTAAAAAATATCCCAGATAATCCAAAATATATTCAGTATGTAACTTTAAAGCTGAGAAAAATTGAGGGTTAATGACGATTTCATCGGTTTTTCCCCTTACCCCGCCCTCTCTGGCTACTGTTTATTATTAGAGGCAGGAAGGAGGGAAGGGTTGCCTGCTCTTTCTCAATGCCTTCTCAAAGTAAAATTTTTTTCCCCAAATGCTACGGTGCAACGTGCTGGGAGTGAGGGCCCTTTAATGATCACGTTTCGTGAAGGGATTCCTGAGTTTGCCTGCATCATGTTGCACGAGATATTGTCTTGATATTTGTTGTATTATTAGAACCTAATTAATTAATAGGATACACAGCAAGCGAAATGAAGGATAATGAATTGACAATTCGGAATTCGAAGTTCATTTTCCGAATGGTCAGGACGCACTCATCACTTTTTCACTCCTCGCCGAACTCTCGAGCGAAAAGTTCGTTCCTTGGGAATTTCCAGCAGGAACCATGTAGTGAAGTCAGATCCGGTGACTTATTTTTGAATCACTGAAAATCACCACAATCGATCGCCTAATGGGCAGCGTTCCGTGCCGCATACATTCAAAAATTTTTATTTGAAAAATTTTGGCCTTTTCCATGTGCGACAAATCAAGTCGGTCGGCCAGTCGGCATATCGTCAGGTGATAGTCCGGAAAGAGCATAGTGAATAGGTCTCACAAGCGCTTCTCCATACGATGTGCACGCGCATTTCATGACGAAAGGAAGAGGGGGAACGCGCGAGGACAAAAGTAAGGAATTTTGTAGATCAAGTTTGAAGAAATTGGGATTCCAACCTCTGATGCAGAGAAAAAGTTGCAAGATACTGACACCGAATTCCAGGCTTTACCTCATTCATCGGTTGCGCTCCGGCACGTACACTCGTAAAATAAACTAAAAATTAATTTAAATTGAAATTTTCAAATGTGATTCATGAAGCCAGCGAGTTTTCTTCCATGACAGTTACGTGCTTCGGTGAGACATCCCTCAGGGACTTCTTACGATGGATCGGTGGAAGGGCCGAGTAGCACTAGTGACAGGGGCGAGTTCGGGAATCGGAGCAGCGACTGCCTTGACGTTGGCCAAGGCTGGGATGAAGGTGGCTGCTTGTGCGAGAAGAATCGATCGCATCAAGGTAAATTTGTCAAATCGAATCTCAATACGTGAGTTGAGTTTTTGGCATTTTTGCCTATTAAAATTCTCCGTTTCGTTAGAAATTGGTGGAAGAATTGGGAGAAGGAGGCACGATGATGGCCATCAAGTGCGACCTGACCAACGATGAGGAAGTGGATGCCATGTTTTCCCAAATCATGGAGACCTGGGGAGGCATCGACGTGTGCATCAACAACGCTGCTCAGGGTGGACCACAGAAGATCGTAGGTATGCCTAAGACTTGTAACCTTCTTTTCTTCATCATGTGTTCCCTGAAGAATCTGCGGCTGTTATTAATTGCATATCTTCGACCCAGACGGAGACCGGAAGGAGTGGAGAAATGTCCTCGATTTGAACGTGATATCATATTGCTACTGTGCAAAGAAAACAGTGGAATCCTTGAAGGAAAGAGATTGCGACGAGGGACACATCATCAACATTTGCAGGTACGACCCAGCTTTTTTCGTGCGTTCCTTTTTACGTTTTCTAATTCAGATTGTTATGGCAAGTCCATTTATATTATTTAATCTTGATGGCTGACGTGAACCGCGTTCGACATCTCGCGACCGGATTT